CCGGAAAAAAAATTGGTCATTTAGATGGCAAAAATACTTAGAACGAAGAATATGATTAGAACGATGTAAACTACAATTAATTGTTAATTTATTACACTTAACTGTTACTTTAAAACAAGAAGACTAATGAGCGAAAGCAAAAATTAGATGAGCAAACCGGCCGATTTCGAAGGTTAAACCGGGAAAATTATTAGAAGCTCCAAAGATTTCCAATGAAGCTTACTTGAGGAACAGAGTCGTCAAGATACGGAATCTGATAGAATCTCATGTAATCTTCCAACGCCATAAGCTCCTCCGACAATCTCTCCACATCGTTTTCATTCTCATTCCAATTCTGTTTAGGACACTCGCAACAAGCATCGCTCAGATCATTACCTACTTTAGCGTCGAGGCCATTCCTGGTCGAGTCAGATGTCAAATTAATGTCTTCGTTGGGGAAATTCAGTTTGGCTTTTCCGCCACGGATTTTAATGGCTGCAACGTCGTAGGCTCGAGCAGCTTCCTCAGAGGTTTTGAATGTGCCAAGCCAGACACGAACACCTTTCCTCGGGTCACGAATCTCAGCTGCCCATTTGCCCCATGGCCTTTTTCTTATCCCTCTATAAAGATTCTTCCTCTGTCTCTTTTGTTTCTTGTCCTTTTGCCCACCAACTGTTCGACGAAATTCCCAAATCAGAAACGAAAACAGGTCAGTTAAATCCCGAGACGAAAATGAAGTGTACCTGAGACGGGTTTACGCTTCTCGATGGAGACACAACCGCTACGACCGAGTTGACTCGGGTCTGACTCAAGCTCTGCCTCAGCAAACGAAGATTTGGACCAGATGAAATCAGAAATTATAGCACCGCCACACATTTTCTCTCTTTTTCTCTCCTTGGAATATATGAACTAGGAGTATAAATTAATGTAATGAGTAGCTTTACATTTTTTTTGGTTTTAATAGAAGAGGACAAGTCAGAGAAGGCTTCATACTTTTTGCAGTTTTTCCTTGACGACCAAGTTCTTCTAGAACTTATCGTTACTCTTATTATACATATCATCACCCTTTGCTTTTTGGTCAATACATATCACCCTTTGCTTACCAATAATAATCTTAAAGCCATGACTCATTCCAACGATAGGAACAAAATGAATAAAAAAGACTTCAAGTGGCACATTTTTCTTTCTTTACTTTTTATCTAACTAATTTTTTTACCTTTTTTATTACGACTAGATGAATATCCGCGTATTGCATATACGCGGGTTTGTGATGTCAAATGTTATTAGATGTAATTTGATATTATCTACATTTACATATGATTTCAATAAAATATAAACATCAACATCAAAGTAGAATGACCACATCATCCTCACTTTGTTGCGAGTCGAATCTTTAGATGCAAGAAATGTAAAAGCTCAAACAAAGACACAAGGTTTTGGTTACCCTGAATTCACCCAAGCTACATTTTAGGAGAGAGAGATCCAAACGATCAACTTGCATTAATTTCAAGAACAAAGCCTGATACAATCACTAATTACTCGACCGTTACCGATTTCTTTGTTCTTTTGTGCAGCTATTACCGGAATCAATGGGTTGATGACAGAAAGCCATTGCAATTAATGTATCAACAAACTTATAGCAGAATCCGACCAATAAGACCAAGTCGTGATGAAAAACGGGGACTTTTACCGCCATTAATAGATAAATGATGAATCTTGCATGAAAAGTGCCATTTGACTTCAACCCTCACTATAAGTGTATAACAATACTGTAATTGGACTTTTCTATTCAAGAGTTTAATGCGAATCAACTAACACAAGACCCTACGATTCTTAAATGCTACATTCATTTCGGAGATCTTACTGATATTGTCTTTGGTATTATTTCAGGAAAATACTAAGAAAACAAAAGCAATACCCAAAATTGGCAAGTGTCTGTTCTTGAGAGGTTAGGGCTGAAGCTATATGGGACTTCATAAGAGCATGAGTCCTTTTGTTCTAGTTCTTGCACTGTCTTGCTTCTTCTTACATATATGTCTTGCTCACGAGAGAGCTTTCTTTTCCAGCAAGCTCAATGATTCCGATACCATAGTCTCCAGCTTCGGCACGTTCAGGTTCGGTTTCTTTAGCTCTGTTAGTTCCACAAGTCGGTATGCGGGTATATGGTACAACAACATTCCTGTACAAACTGACCAAGATAAGTCAAGCAACGACTCCTCTGGAGTTATTTCTGAGTGGCCAATTCGCAACCTGCAATCCCCGGTAAACCCCGCCTTGTTCTTGCATTAGAGGGTTTAGGCCAACAAACCTCATAGAGTGGAACAATGGAAACTGGAGTGATGGATGCGTAAGAAGGGTCCCTTTGCAGTGTGAAAGACAGAACAATATTAAAAGTACTGATGGGTTCGTGGGGCTGAGGCGAATGAAATTGCCTAACTTTGCAAGAATATCTAAAGCCAGCGAGCCAGAATGCTTAAGGACTTGTTTGCAGACATGTTCTTGTATAGCTTGTGCTCGTGGTTTAGGTTATGGCTGCATGATTTGGAATGGAAGCTTAGTTGATTTGCAGGAGTTGTCTACTAGTGGAATGGATTTTTATATCCGTCTTGCGCATTCAGAAATCAGTTAAGTATCATTCCTTAACGTCTCTCCTATGCTTACTTATGTGATTGCAGTTTTACTAATTATGTTATTTGTTGCCAACTCTCTATTAGAAACGCCGGACCGACTATCGGTTATAATCGGTACATCATTGGCAGGCAGTATTTTTACTGTGGTAGCTTGTGGAATTTTGGCGTGACGGATTGTCATGAAGAAAAGAAGTCAGAGTTTCACTAAACTATGTGTTGCTTCTTATGAGTATTTTGGGTTTTTAGATTCCATAATATCTTGGATTCGTTCTCAGCAAGAAAGAAAGGAACAGGCAGAGCAGATTTTTGAGAGAGTGGAAGCTTTAGCTGGTGGTAATAAAGGAAAGTTGAAAAAGCTGCCATTATTTGAGTTTCAAGTGTTAGAATCAACGACTGATAATTTCTCTCTCAGAAATAAGTTCGGACAAGGCGGTTTTGGTCCCGTTTACTAAGTATGTACGAGTTTTAAAGTGTTATGGTTAACAAGAATTTGGTCTTTTGACTTTTTCTTGTTGTTGCAGGGAAATTTGCAAGAAGGCCAAGAGATTGATGTGAAGAGGCTGTTAAGTGGATCAGGACAAGGGCTTGAGGAGCTTGTTAATGAAGTGGTTGTGATTTCTAAGTTGCTGCATTGCAGGAGCAGAGAGGATGTTAGTCTATGAGTTCATGCCCAATAAAAGATTGGACTTTTATCTGTTTTCTCTTCTTAGACTCTGTTTCAGTGTAATCACCAGGTCGATTAACAGAAGCTTATGTGTGTTGCTCAGACCCGGTGAAGGCAAAACTTCTTGATTGGAAGACGCGGTTTAACATAATCAATGGAATATGTAGAGGTCTTCTGTACCTTCATAGACACTTTAGACTGAGATTCATTAACAGAGATTTAAAAGCTAGCAACATATTGTTAGATGAGAATCTGATTCCGAAAATATATGATTTCGGCTTGGCTAGAATTTTCTTGGGGAATGAAGATGAACCAAACACCCCAAGGGTCGTTGGAACATAGTAAGTAACTCCATTCTAACCATATGTTACACTTTTTTACGTAGATAAAAGTCGTAAACCCGAGGAAATAAATGTATCGTGCAGCGGCTATATGTCTCCGGAATATGCAATGGAAGGATAGTTTTCAGAGAAATCTGATGTTTTCAGCTTAGGAGTAATTGTATTAAGGG